ATGTTTTTTTTCAATGGATTTATGATCTTTTATGCTCTAAATGATCAGAAAATAAATTAAAACATTTTTAATAAAAGGGACATTCTCCATATTTTAATATAGGAAGAACGATATTCTATATAAAATTATGTATGACGCGGAAGCCAATCATGTTGCGTATTTCAAACCTACGCATGCTGCATCGGCTGTAAGCAGCGTGCTGATTGGCTGGCTGACGATGACGTGGCTGCATTCCTCAGCAAGGCACGCATTCCTCTGCAAGGCACTCTTTACGGAACGAGAAATGAAATATCTTCGGAGTTCGGCTAGGGTGATGGTTGGGGCGTAAAATCTAAATTGCGCTAGTCTCAGCTTAAGCCACGCAGCTCTTATTTAAGTTTAAATCCCCATGTTAAAAGTGAACTATTTCTTTTAACCCTATCACTGGTAGGCTTTCTGGACTACGTTAACTGGTGGAGGGTGGCCGATTCGGCCCCCTTGATATCTCTAAACAAATTGTCCGATCTTATTGAGACAAACATCATTCGATTGCTCCTATCGTGAACACTTGGATTGACTATAAAAAGTAAAAAAAAAAATCAAAATGAGGGGTCTTGGACGTAAAGATTTTCGAGAAAAAAAAATCGCGTTTTACACCTCATGACTAAAGATGCTTTATTTTTTGATCGATTTTGATGAAACTTAAGGGGACCCTTCTTCTTGACCTGGGCCGGGCCTTCATACATATTCTGGTTTTTCGGATATTTGAAAAATAATAGACGGATTCAGGTAAGCTAATTTGGGATGATATTCTGAGTTTTTGTCGTGGCATGTCTTGCGTCTTATGACATGTGAACTTACATGTGTTACATGTAATATTAAATATGCGACGTGAGCACAATATACACGTTTTCGTGAAGCATAGGCGAATTCAGGCACGCTCAGACGGGGGACAGTTCATTGACATTACCTTCTTCCTCTGGTTGTACCTGTATCCGCCTATTCCAATAATTTCGTTGTAAATTGGCGTCAGTCTTAAGGTACATACATATTACATAATACATATGACGTGTGGTGCCACTGATCACCAATACAAACCTAAGTAATTCGGTGCATAGCGGCAAATGTCGGAACAGTCAAAGCTGCAGCAAACCTACCCCTGAGAAACTCGTCCGGGAGACGCCTAGCTAGAAACTCGAAAATTTGACACAATGTGCCCAATAAATAGTCAGGAAAAGTCACCAAATTTCGAGCTCCTAGCTTAGGTGGTTTTCCGTCCAGAGCAAAAAAAAAACTGCAGGTGGGGGGCGATTCGCCCCCCCCCCCCAGCAGTAATAGGGTTAATAGGTTTTCTATCGTAGTCACCCACCTGTCGGCCTCCCACTTCCTGTTTTTAAAGAAGCTTTTGAAACAGGTGTCAAGTGCCACCCATCATAAGCAACTACCTACCATAAGTGCTACCATATTATGAATTGAGGTTTGAGCTGAATTTCTGCTTGCCTCGGCTACACATGACAGGGTTTCTAGTAGTTAAACTAGAACTTCCTACCAAAGTTCGTCCTACTTTCATTCAATATACCTTGGGCGTACTCGCCAGTCAGCAAGCTTGTGTGGCGCCGCAGCACGTCGCTGACCCATAACCTGCGCCAAACCGGGCCCTCGTCTCTCTTGCGTCCTTTTGAGTGCCAGCTTGAGATGGCCACCCGCGCCCCGCTGGGGGGGGGGGGGGGAATCTGCCCCCTCCTGATTTTCGCCAATAACTTCTAAACGCGTAACGCCAGCGACATCAATCTTTCAGTACCTTATCATACATCAATTTAACAAGTTCCCTAAAAATTTGAGCGAAATCCGTCGGATGTTTTTTGAGAAAATGACGTGTAAGTGACATGCCACGCCATTTTCGCTTCCAAAACTGCAAAACTTAAAACGCCGCTAACATCTTTTTAAATTTATCAAGACGCATTAAAAAAGGTTATGCGTGATTTTACTTTGTCAATCCAAGATTACTTTACTATTCAGGTTGGCTCATTAGGGAAAAAGGACGCCGTAGTTACGTCACGGATTCGGTAGCAATCTGCCCCCTCCTGATTTTCGCCAATAACTTTTAAACGCGTAACGCCAGCGACATCAATCTTTCAGTACCTTGTCATACATCAATTTAACAAGTTCCCTAAAAATTGGAGCGAAATCCGTCGGATATTTTTTTGGAACATGACTGTAAGCAGGGGTAGCCAAAGTTCAGTGGCAACTCTGGCTGTGACGTCAGCATTGCGACACCGAGCCGGCGCTAGCATTGTACGCTACGGGTAGATAGGTGTTTTTCGGGTCGCGATAACACGTGATATTGAGGTCTCAGTGAGCTGATATGCATATTAATATCATGGCAGGGATGTCCTCTTTGCATTTCTGGGGTCCATTTGTCGATATCAACTTTATTTTTTCGTCAGTGCGCCTTCAACCGACACCTTGTAAATTCAGCAATAAGGGTCATTTTGCCAAAATAGCTGTTAAGTTACATAGAATATAGCCCTTATTGAAAATGAAATGTTGATGCGGTGGGATTCTGTGGGATTCTTGGGATTCTGTGAAGGATCACATTTGAATCTTGTTCTTTCCTTCGGTTACCGCTGGTACATTCTGGTACCAAACAGTAACCCATCTTGATTTTGCTTGTGCACTAGCCGGCCAATTACTAGATGCACTTTTCTGGAAGAAGGAAAGAGGAAAAGATCATGTTAACCCGCGCCCCGTAGGGGGGGGGGCCGAAACGGCCCCCCTGTCCTTTTCGGTCGATATCTCCTAAACGGCTGGAGATATCGCCACCAAACTTTCAGGACCCCTCCGGGCATCAATTTTACACATTGTGACCAAAAATTTTTCCAGAGGCTATGATAGGTTGGCCACAAATGACGTCAGAGTGACGTCATGTTCTGTCATTTTCGACCGAAAAAAGACCTTCGCGAGAAGACCTGTCAAGACTACAGCTTTGAAGATACAGAAAAATGATCAAGACATAAAAGGTGTAGAATTGACAGGACTACAAAACTGCTATCTCGAATTTTTGAAATTTTTGAGTTTTGACCCCCAAAAATCAAAAAAGCATTTTTTTGGATATATTCGCCAAAAAATCCAAAAACTTTTTTGAGTTTCGAAAAAACCGGAATATATGTGATAGTGCCCACCGTCTTCTATCTCCATACCAAATTTCAGATCGATACCTCGTTTTTTGGTCAAGTTATAGCGAAAAAACTGTTCAAAAATGATGACGTCAAATTTTCAAACTCAATTTTTGGCAATTCTAGAACTCGTAGAGCAAAACAAAGACCACCATTAGACTCCCCGTGACGAGCTGCATCGAATCGATACCCATTTTATGCAAAAATATCAACTTTGAAATTTGACCTAATTTGACCTGACCTTGACTTGACCTTCACAAAAACGTGACCTAGGCTGGCCCCAAAGGCTGCCTAACCCACATAATCGCATTTGTCATGTAAAATGGACCATAAAACATGTATCACACGACACATTCATATTGTGACCCCCGGTGACCTGACCTCGCTGTGACCTGACCTGGTATCAGTGACCTCAGATAGCAAAGTATGTGTTTGACGAACAATGTACCATCGATGGTTTTCAATAAATTACCAATTTACTCGCTTTCACAGCACATTTCTTGAATTGCCTGTGAACGGTGAAAATCTGACCTTTGACCTGACCTGTGACGTCATCGGTTTGACCTAGGTCAATGAAATTCGGTCACAAGGTAGTTCCCGGGTGGGGCTATCGAACGCCGTTTGAATTTTGAAAATCGGCCGGTAACTTTCCGAGATCTTAGGGGGGGGGGCCGAAACGGCCCCCCCCCCCCTACGGGTGGTAGGGTCCGCCGGTAGCCCTACGGGGCGCGGGTTAACATATTAACCTGATCGTGATAACGTCAAATTTAATACAGTAATGAGCCAGTCTGCAATACATGGCAGGTTTCGTCAAGATCTTGTCGAGGCAGACATCATGGATTGGGGCAGAAATTGGGGAAGGTTTGAGGAATATTGGGGCAGCAGAAACTGGAAAACCTCGGGCAGAAGTTGAAAACTGGAACAGAAATGCTTTCCTCAGCTTCCCACCACCTCCCAAATCATTATAGCATTAGATCATTCTCATTATTAGGGCAGGCGTGCACCGTGAACAGCGTCACCGGGAATGTGGCGTCAGCTGATTGATGCGTTTGCTGCTTTTTAACAATTGCGTACGGTACATATCGTTCACATTTGAAATTAATTAATGTGTCAAATTACATTATTATATATTGACACTGTATATTATTATAATGTGTCAAACTATTATTATTACAATGTGTTATTCAATGTATAATCAAGTCATTATTAAAAGTCTCATATTATAATTTGAGTCTTGGCGAGTAAATAGAAATAGCATATGATCCTCGTAGTAAAGCATACACGTATTTGTGAGAAAATGGATAGAATCAAATATAGCAGCGATTCCCTTTCCTGGTTGGCATCGCTTTTTATTTTACATACGCAACCATATATCCCTGATGCCGAATATCAGGCGCCGCCGCGCCGGGCATGAACACACACTTGAGATCGGCACGGACTCAGCCATTGTCAGCCCAGCTTGATGCAAAACTGCTTCTGTGAATAAAATAACACTGAAGTGGTGCTGGTTCTCCAGCCATTATATCCAGCGCAAATGAAGGCCGAGGGTCGCGCCTTCGTTTTTTAAAGTTATAAGTTCTCTAAGCTATACGACATCCCGGCGTACCACGTCGTCGTGAGCGGCGTTTCACGGCCGCTGCTAGCACACTGCCACCACACGCAGAGAAATCGGTTTCCACAGACCGACAAACTCGGACGCTCCAATATTGAATGGCGTTAGTTAGCTGGTCTCCAAAGTCAATGCAGTGATTTGACATCGACGTGACCCGTGAACCTACGTGCGGAAAATGTACCAAAAATCCGTCTCGACCATCCGTTCGGAAGCTGGATGAAGAGCCAAAAATCTGCATCCCTCCCAGCGATTCGTATATTCGTCCCCATACTTCAAGAAGTCCGGTTTAAAAAATATGCGAACAAAACGCACATTAACGGATTTAAAACGGAAACAAGCTTCACCACTCACACGCAAAACTGAGGCGAAACTTGAGCTGTCATTCAATTGTATAAATGATGTGAATTTACCACGAGCACAGCGCAGAACCAACATGCTCGGTCCGAACTCAGCTTTGCAGATACCAGCTCTCACCGCGCCGAATAGTCTCACAAACGGCAAAAACAGGTCTGATGCGTGAAATTCATGGCATTCTAATCGTTATATCAGTAATATCGCAGTAGGGGAAGCACACAGGTCGTGTTAAATGTACAGAAAAGTCCGCCAAACAATTACATCCATCATGATAACGAATGTCAGTTAAAACTCACCGGAACTATCGTTCTCATACATACGGCCACGGGAGAGGGGGATGAACGTCACAATGACCAATTGCACAGCAAATGAATCGTAGCGAATGAATCGTACAATTATCACAGTTATAATTTGATCATAACGAACTTAACCTAGCACCGGTGTAATTCCTCCCCGCCTCCCGCTCTTGTCTATCATCTGATCATCCTCACAACTATCTCATTCAAATCACCCCGACCCGCACCATATTTCCACCGAAGGGTTCACTCTATGCAAAACTGTCAATCCCGTGACAGACGGTGCCGCGCCGAATGTCCTTAGCACCACCATGCCTCCGTTAAACTTTGGGTGACAAGCCACTATTCGCGCCAGCGCCGGTCGGGACGCCTCGGTGGCTCGGCGCCGCATCGCCTCCGCATGGGCAAGACTCGGTAGGAAGCGCATCATGAGGTCTCCGTCACCCGGGTGGCGGACGAGCCGCCTACCGCGCCATCCACGCAAATGCTTCGCTATCTTCGTCCACAGGACGCCGTCAGACTGTCGCCCACGAGTCTGGAAGGGAACAGAACGGACGGTCAGACGATCTAAAGGCCGTCCCACACTGGACCTCGCATGCGGGTTGCGAGTTTTTGGGTTTTCGGGTTTCTTCAAAATCAAATAGGTAATACAATCTAAGCTGAGTCACCCACACTACCATCTAACAGGCGAGTCTGCATGTTTTTAGCTTGCGAGCGACCTTGCATCGCATTCCAAAAGTTGGTTTTGAGTCAACTTTCGAATTTCCTCGCTGCGAGGTGTGCGAGTTCTGCGAGGTTTGCGGATTTTTCGTTAGAGTCTAATTTTGGTTCGTTGCGCTGGTATTGCGACTATATGTAAGTTTCTGAAGGTGCACCAGCATCACTGCATCATGAAGTTACCATAAGGAAGCGATCTAATCACTCTATGAATTAGTATTATGCCCGCAAACTCAAAACCCGCAAACTCGCAACCCGCATGCGAGTTCCAGTGTGGGGCGGCCTTAAGGCGTAGATGTAGGTACGTTAACAGTGTAGGGTACGTTAGTGATGAGTAAAAAAATCGTCAAAATTTAGCACTAACATTTTAACTGTGCAAAGGAACGTTATTTCATTAATAGACAATTATGTACGCAAACTTTACAAATCTTGCCACTGTCTCCGAGCCAGAGGGTGCCGTGTGCCAATACTTGAGCAGCCCAATTAACTGCTAAAATAGTTAACACTGGCATGAGATATTATACCTGAGCATTCGCTCGACCGCTCCAGCTGGTATTTTGCAGAGCGCCGCCGCCGCCGGCTCCCGCCACAGCCAGCGCAGCGGCGCGGCACGCAAACTGAGAGGCCACACTACGGTCTTGCGGCTAGCCGCCGCTGCCGGCTCTCGCCACAGCCAGCGCAGCGGCGCGTCCACCTGGTCTCGCGGCACGCCGCCACCGCCGGCTCCCGCCATAGCCAGCGCAGCGGCGAGACACGCAGACTAAGAGGCCACACAGCAGTCGTGTTGCACGCCGCCACCGGCTCCCGCCACAGCCAGCGCGGCGGAGCGGCCACCGGATATCGCGGCACGTCGCCGCCGCCGGCTCCCGCCATAGCCAGCGCAGCGGAGCGGCCACTTGGTCTTGCGGCACGGCAGCAGCCAACAGCATGATCGCCGGCACCTGCGCATTGAACATTTTATTAAAAGGTGACATTTTCTTAGAGGACCTGACACGCGACCCAGAAGAAATGCATAATATAATATATTCAAGGAAAACCTTGTTCAAAGAAATGTAAAGCATATGCTTTCAAATAAAACACAAATTGGTCCATTAGAACAAACAGAGTCAAGAAGCCCAAAAACCAAACAATGTGTTCTGTATGTTAGCAGCCCGTGAAAAGGTAACGCTGTAACTTCTGAGCGGTATGACAATATATTGTTACGTTATGTTTAAAGATTGTTGTACACGAAAACAACACAAATCATGCCGTCAGCTCCAGCCGGATAATGTCGCGTGTAAAAGCATTAGCAGCCCAATTACAACCATATCATAAGTTATCATACCTGAGTTACCGCTGCACTGATCCAGCTGGTGACCCGTCGCCGCCGCCGGCTCCAGCCATAGCCAGCGCACCGGCGCGGTACACAGAGTCCGGCCACGCTTGACGCTACAGTCTTGTTGTACGTCGCCGCCGGCTCCCGGCTATGATGCGGTGGAGAAGGCCCTTGTTGTAGTCGAGGAAGACGGGCTGCTTCCAAGGACTGCACAAGGATCGGACCATCACCACCTGCATCTTGTCGTTGGGGCCGTAGACCGCGTCGTCCGTGGAGTCGTACGCCACGCGGGGATCGATGGTGATCTCGTCGAAGGACATGACGAGCAGCCTCTCATGCGGCGTTATGGTGTCTGCGGACGAGCGCATGATCTGCAGAACTATGTCCAGGATCCTAGGTGACGTCCGGAAGCCTCGAGTCCAGCGGCGGAGGGTGGAGAGGCCAGGCAGCTGGAACTGGAACTTCTTCATGAGGAGCCGATAACATATTCTCCTTGAGCAGCAGCGATTAGCGAATCACCTATCTAGCGCGCGGAGGACGACCAGCAGCGTCACTCTGGCAGACGCCGCTGTGCTGTGCCCCAGACCGGCACAACAGCAAGGCCACACTAGAGTCTTGCGACCCGTCGCCGCCGCCGGCTCCCGCCACAGCCAGCGCAGCGGCGAGGCACGCAGACTGAGAGGCCACACTAAGGTCTTGCGGCTAGCCACCGCTGCCGGCTCTCGCCACAGCCAGCGCAGCGGCGCGTCCGCCTGGTCTCGCGGCACGCCGCCACCGCCGGCTCCCGCCATAGCCAGCGCAGCGGCGAGACACGCAGACTAAGAGGCCACACAGCAGTCGTGTTGCACGCCGCCACCGGCTCCAGTGCTGCCAGATGGGGAAGGCTGTAATCCTCCAGATCAGTTACAAAAAATCCTCCAGATTCCTCCAAATCCTATTGGTAGATATAGAAAGGCGGTCTTGGACGCTGCGGGGGGCTATACCCCCAAAAAAGTTTCACCAAATTCTAAAAACTCATCGGATTTCGAATCCTTTCGCACTGCTGTGCAGTTTAAAAGATACCTTTTCTTATAAAAGCTGTTTAGTTTTCCTATTATAAAAAAACGAATATTTTCGTCGATTTCGGGCGCTGCAGGGGGGCCGGGGGCATTTGCCCCAAATGTCCCCCTTAGACAGCCAGTAGTTTGGTACCCTCGACCCTCGTAGATACCTATAGCTACAGACTGAGACATTCTGCAGTCTCACGGTGAGGCGTGATATATCCTAACGGGTAGGGTGACGCTGGGCAGGAAAATGCCTTTTTAGTATTGCATGTGTTATATTTTTCCATGAAATTGAATATAATAATCGGGCGACAAATCCTCCAGATTTTCCTCCAGAATCAAAAATCCTCCAAAAGCGAAATTTGTCCGCAAATAGAGTTCAAAATCCTCCAGATTTGCGGAAATCCTCCAAATCTGGCAGCACTGACCGGCTCCCGCCACAGCCAGCGCGGCGGAGCGGCCACATGGCAGCAGCCAGCAGCATGCTCGCCAGCACCGCCGCGGCACCAAGTCCTGCGAATTGCAAATTTTATTAACCCGCGCCGTGCTGGGGGGGGGGCGTTTTTACGCCCCCCCCCTCAGGTTTTTCGCGAATATCTCAAAAACGGCGGCGCGCAGCGCCGCCGTTTTTGGTACACGTGTTCCTACATCATTTCCGCACATGTTGTGAAAATTTCAGACCTAGGCCGTTCAAGGTCAGGTCACCAGGTCACGTCAAGTGACCTTACCTCAGAAAAAGTTCAAAGGCTCGCTATAGCTACACCGACTGAACGATCACTTTGAAACTTTCAGCGATTGATATGAATAACAGTATGTATAAAATGTATATCTCGGATTTTTGATATCTGTGACCTAAGGTCAGGTCAATTTTGCGACCTCTCCATTATAAGTCAATGGGAGAAAATTGAAATGCGCCTCTTTTGGACGAATATCGTTCAAAACGCTCTCAAACATCGGTTCATAGGTAAACATGACACACTGAATAGGAAAAATGCACCTGTGACCCCTCTGTGTGCCCCTGAGGTCATCTCAGGTCATGAACGGTCGCCAGCAGTTTTTTGGCTATAACTTTTGATAGAGACGTGCTAGAGCGGTGAAAACACGTCAGATGTGTTCAGCTCGACGATAGGGATCGACTGATATGCAACATGACCCTTTTCGGTCAGGTCATGACCTTGACCTGAGGTCAAATTTTCAAAATGACCTTTCAAGGTCAACAAATAGTTCATTCGACGCGTCTCGACGAGAGGAACACGATGCTGGCAAAAGTAATGTCATGGCGCTTATGAGTCAAAAGTTATTGACGAAAAAACGTTTTTCGTAAAAACGGCTATTTTTGGAGTTTTTGCCCTCTGGAGGCTAAACCGTTGGCCTGAGGTCAAATCTGAGAACATTACTCAGAAAGGTCTGTAAAAGGGCTATCGAATGCGCTTTTCCGCGGCGCTGTAGCTCTATCGGTTCCCGAGATAGCCGTTGGCAGTTTCCAAAATGTTGAAATAGTCAACATTTTACCTTTGGTGACCTCTGGTGACCTGACCTTTGACCTGACCCAAAAAATGACCGAAGTGTTTTCGTCCTTATTTTTGACACTCTTTCGATTGCCGCTTACCGCGTGTCGCTACGTGGCCCAGGAGCCGAGTTAGACGGGGGGGGCGTGAAAACGCCCCCCCCCCCCCAGCACTCGGCGGAAAGTTCAGGCCACCAGCACGGCGCGGGTTAATAGGTGGCATTTTCTTAGAGGGCCAGACACGCGATCCAGATGAAATGCATAAAATAATATATTTATGGAAAACTTTGGTATTGGTAAGGTAAGGTAAGGTAAGAAATGTAAGGCATATGATTTCAAATGAAACACAAACTGGTCCATTAGACCAAACGGAGTCAAGACGACCAAAAACCAAACAATGTGTTCCATATGTTAGCAGCCCGTGAAAGGTAATGCTGTAACTTCTGAGCTATAGCAAAACATTTCTATGTTATGTTTCTTTAAAGATTGTTGCACACAAACACAGCACAAATCATGCCGTCAACTCCAGCTGGATAATGACGCGTGTGAAAGCATTAGCAGCTCAATTGCAATATTATAAGTTATCATACCTGAGTTTCCGCTGAACTGATCCAGCTGGTGTCTTGCGACCAGTTGCCACCGCAGGCTCCTGCCACAGCCGGTGTCCGGACAAATTGCCGAAAGGCGATTTACCGAATGTCATTTTGCCGAATGCATTTCGCCGAATGTCATTTTGCCGATGTGCTTTTTGCCGACGTGTCAAAAAGTCGAAATGCTAAAAGTCGAAATGCCATTTGCCGACATGCCTTTTTGCCGAAATGCCAATTTGCCGAAATGCTTATTAGTCGAAATGTAAATTTGCCGAAATGCTATTTGCCGAAATGTCGATTAGTCGAAATATCAATTAGTCGAAATGTAAATTTGCCGAATTGTAAATTTGCCGAAATGTCAATTTGCCGAAATGTCAATTTGTCGAAATGTCAATTTGCCGAAATGTCCATTTGCCAAAATGTCAATTTGCCGAAATGTCAATTTGCCGAAATGTCAATTTGCCGAAATGTCAATCTGCAACCTAGGTTAACCTAGGTTAGGTTAGGTTACGTAAGGTGGTGTTTATATACTTAGGACCGATCACCAATTTACTTTTGGTGCAATCCCCAAGTAAGAAGCAAATCACATGATATCCTTTGACCTCCTGATTTCATATCTATGGCACAAACAAGTTTAACAGCACCAATACCATGTGGAAATAAACATCAAATTGCTCGTGGCGAAGCAGTGCAGTGCCGAAGGCAATTCCTTAAGAGAGATTAGAGGCAAAGGTAAGTTAAATATTTTTAGGTTAACCCTCGCCGGCCGAGGGGGGTGCGGGTGCCGCACCCCCATCGGTTTTTTTCGCGATAGCTCCGAACACGCTGGCGATAGAGAGCTGAAACTTGGCATACCTGACCTTTGATTCAAGTCGGATCTTTTTACACCAACCGCATTTTTGGGTCAGGTCAGGTCACCGACCTATGACGTCATAAGTGAACCTCTGCACGGTCTTCAGATGTCGCAACTTCGCAACGCTCTCACGGCAAGAGGAGCGTTCACAGGGAAATGAAGCTTGCAGGACCTAATATCCATTACGAGTCTCACATGACCGTGACCTGAGGTCAACACCCTAAGTTGACCTGACCCAAACAAAAATTATATCCTTTGACGCGCCTAAGCAAGGCAAACACGATGCTGCCAAAATCGCGGCCCTGCGGCCCTTTGTGGC